TAAACAACATTCTTAATAAATTTGTTACAGTAATGAGCTAAAACATCATAGAATATTAAGTCAGAAATCCTGTGATATAAAGACAACTACTTTCATGTGTGGAAATGCTAATTATTTTATATTAATAATTATTCTGATATTACTGTCATATTTATTCTCAGGTTTTCTTTTCTGTATTTGCTAATTTGACCCTGGAACACAAAAATATTTAGTTCACTCTATAACACTTCATTTTTATTAGACTGTAAATCAATGTAAAAAGATGTGATGTGATTTTGTATTATATAAAGGAAACAACAATGATGTTTAACTTTTAGCCATAATATGAGTATATATTTTTTATGCTGACATATGATATAGGTCACATACATTTTTTCACTCCTGATAACTTAGTGTACCACAAAATTGAGTTAGAACAATATTTTTTAAATGCCTGTGTATGCAATGGAATCACACAATCTGGGTGACTCAATCCATTTAGGCTGCCTTGGGGACGAAACTCTTCTTATAAATGGTCCTTAAATTTTTGCTTAAATTGGTTGAGGTCAAATTGTAACCAAGAATCATTCTCTAGTATTTATGGTCCTATGTTTCTCATGATTCCAAGCTTTGCCAATAACACCGGATGTACTAAAAGGGCCACAGGGAGGGAGGGTGGCTGCTTCTTACCTCCTGAACTAGCATCCCAGTTGGCCCTGCTCTGGGCTTACTCTGAATAGAGCTGTTGCCTCCAGTATGAAAATCAATAAGGGCCCAGTTTACATGGACTTAAAGGAAACGAATCTCTGATATTTGGGGTGAAGGACTAGGCTCAATGCCTCCCTAGATGGTTCCTAATTATGCTTTAGTGGTAGAGAAAACTCTGAAACTATAACTTAAAGCTCCAGGTGTCCAATTACATTACAAAAATGTAGGTTTTAGAATCCAAAAACCATAAAAGTTTAATATAATTGGGTTACTTTACTTGTGTAATAACTTTATCATTAATGGCTTGTCCGTTTTAGGAACTTTAAATTTGGTAGGGTACTGAATGTTATTAGGGCTGCTTGTTTGTTTGTTCGTTTGTTTTTTCT